TCATTCAAGTCATTTTAACTCAAAAATATACTGTATAATCATTCTAAAATATTTTGATGAAGGCCGTTATTGCGACCAGCGTTTGTTCAGTCTGTGCCACGGCGCTGTAGATCAAACATGTGAATGCGATCATCCTGCAGTAGGAGCGCCAATCAGGAGCCGGCGCTAGTGGGGACCTTGAATCTGGGAGATGGCGCCTAAGAATAGCAGCAGGTTTTGGTCCTTGGAGATGACATGAGGCTTGCTTTTGGCGTCTGCCGCTGGCTGATTGTCATCTTGCATAATGCATAACTGTTGAGGATGCGATTGAATGTGTAGAGACTGGAAGATACAGTGCTGCTTTGCTACACTATACTGCATGGTACTGCATTCTTCTTCTTTCGTCGTGCCACAGCCCCTGGTCACAGCTCCATCATCCCGGCAACCGCATCAACACTCAGCCAGCTTGCCAAGACCAACTTCCGGGCGCAGACCTAGCCAGACCATTACTCGCGGCGCTCCCCCATTGTTGTTCGGCCATTCCGTAGTCGCCAAACTATACACCCATTAACCCCCAATATCCTAACCGCATCCACGACATCGCTTCCCGCCGCTTGTTCTTAACGTTTTGCCTTAACCTTTGCACGACACAACGGTTCGACAGCTCCCTAGTGCCAAACAGAACCAAGAAGGCGGGCCTTTGGCAGCCTGGGCGATCCACACTTCTCCAAACCAAGTGATCTCATTGTGAAAACAAGACTCCGGTGACATTTGACGTTTGGACGGGCCCGGTGCATGGTTGTTTGGGTGCCATGTTGTTACCCGCGCGGCATGCAAGGGACGGCGCCCTCGAGAGGAGAGAAGTCTCCAAGCAGGGCAGGACCTTTGTCGTAGTAAGTTTACGCCATCGCCCACACTCTACCACGCACTGGCTAACCCTGCATTCCCCAGGTCGGAATCATCGCCGTCGCCATCTTCGCCATCCTTATAATCACATACTTCTCCACCCTCAAGTTCCGCGCCCCGTACCGCGCCGCAAAGAAAGCACAACAGTCGTCCGCCGACAAACTCCCTTCGTTATTCTCATGGAAAGCGTTCCGCAAGCGCCCGCGCCGAAATGACTACTCGACTAGTCTGCAGGATACCGAGTACCGGGGGAGCACAAGCAGGGCGAGTGGTGAGATGAGTGGAGCAGCAGCAGGAGATCCGGAGAGGCAAATAAACAGCTCGACCGGTGCCGGCGTCGACAGAAACACATCCGTTCGCAGCGTCATGACGCTCCCCGCCTACTCGTCCGCCGCACGAGAGAACGAGCGCGTCCTAGCCCGCGAAGGCGAACGCGGCGGCGTAGACACAGTCCTCGAGCTCCCCGAAACCATCGACGAAGAAGAGCGCCAACGGGAAGAAGAAATGGAATCTCTATATCAAATCCGGCTCGCCCGCCGCATCGAAGCCACCGACCGCGAAGCCCGGCGTCAAGCCCGACGAGAAGCCCGCGCTCGCGGCGACGTCCAGGCCCTAGCTGATATACGACGCCGCGCCGAAGAAGCCGCCGACCTCTCCGTCTCCCAGATGCTCATCGCAGAGCACCAAGCCCGGACCCGGTCGAGAGACAGACGCGTGAGCGCTGTCGCATATGGCGATCTAGGCGTCGCGCGCCACGACGGCACACGCCTCCGAGCCAACTCCTCCGAAAGCGACAACAGACCCCTCCTCGACTCCGCCGCCTCCTTCTCCGGCCAATCCCGCGGTCGCGACGCCCACGCCCGCGGCCTCTCCGTCACATCTCTCACACAATCCGTGGAATCGCGCGGATCCGACGATTACGACTTTGCGGATGCGTCGCGCTCGAATTCACATTCTACTGCTGGGCCTAGTCCTGGTCCCAGTCCAAATACCGAGGGTTTTGAGGTTGTGAGTTTGAATCCGGAGAGGAGTTATAGTGGGAGTGGAAGTGGAAGTGGAGTTGGCGGGAGTGGAGGTGGTGGGATGGTACCAGGGGAAGACGCGCCTGCGTATGAGGATCCTCCGAATTACGAAAGTCCGATTAATACCCGGGCGCCGCAGTTACCGGCGCTGAATCTGAATTTAGAGAGACTGCCAAGTATACGCGTTACGACGGGTGAGACGCCTGTGGAAGGAAGTGGGAGGGTGGGGTCGCCGTTGAGGTAATGAAAAGACATTTGTTCGCTTCGCAAATCTGTTTCCTCGCATTTGGGGGATTTTCTTCGGAATCAGCGTATTCATTCTTCATCTCGATCAACGAAGGTTATGAAGTGGCGTTAAAGGGAAAGGAAAGGAGCATATGTATACATAGATAGGTGGTGTGCTCGGGCTGGTCAATGTTTAATCGTATTACATCACAAGTGGGTGCGGTGTTGGTCTTGATGTTCATGGGGTTGGGGCGGTGGGAGAGGTGAAGTAGAGTGTAAGGAGATGCGAAGGCAAGAGCATGATGTATAGCCAGCACATGAGCAGCGGAATTCAGATGGCTGAGCAGCATGCGAACAGGAAAGAGTCGAAGATTGAAGGTACGTCATGGGTGCGAGGGTGTTGAAGGGCGCAAGAGAAGTAGACGCGATGTTCACATGCACGCAGGTGGAAAGCATCCCACAACCCTTCACTGCTGGTGGGCGTACACGTGATTATTGAGAGAGGGGGTTCTTAGCGGAATTTGAGGCTTTGGGGGAGATGACAGCGAATACTCACGTGCACACAGGTAGGAAGCTATGCGTCCGAACTGGGCATATGCGTGCGACTGGGCTGAAGAGGGTCTTGAGTCGCATCTGAGTTGGTGGGGACATGAAAATGAACACCCTTACGCACACATGTAGGAAGCCATGGGTCTTTCACTACTGGTGGTGTGTAAATCGAAAGAGGAGGGTCCGAGCGGTGTGGTCGACTGTGTTTTCTTCAGTTGTACATTCGACTCCAGGCTTTATCCACGCCGCTATTCTGCCAGTCTCAACGCCGCTACCAGAAGTATAGCGATCAACTACCGCGAGCGACCACTGGCTTCAACTTTCAACTTTAAGGCGGTTGCTTTCGTAATTGCAGACTCTCCACTCGACCTCTGTTCACACCACTGTTCTTCCACCACCTCAACGAAGTCGGCCCAACAGCATACAATATGTCCCTCCAGAAGCTATCGACCGAGCTTGATGGCCAAGTTGCCAGCTGCCTCGTCGGCGACACCAAGGCTCTCAGCGCCTTCTCCAAGACGAACAAATACTACCGGGGCATTGCTGAGCCATATCTCTACACGAATATCGAAGTGTATGAATCTGAGCTTGAAAGGCCGCTGCGACTGCTATTCACGTTGTTAGACCGTAAGGAACTCGCCCTTCACATCAAGAGCTTGAGCTACATACCAGCCCAGCATTGGTCCTCTCACGATGCCGACATAAAGCCGCCGACGAGGAAGAAGCTCCAATATGATGTATGGAATTACACGCACGCGATACAAGAGGTGCTGGATGAAGTTCTCTCTCCAGGATGCGGGTTCTCGGAATTCCTCTCAGCAAAACTGACCTTGTATTGTGATATTCTGACGGCTCCCATGAATCACTATACAGCCAGCAATCAGATTTTCACGCTCATTCTGTTTATGGCGCAGAAGGTCCAGTATCTAGAACTTGGTTCCAAAGAACCACCTACACATGTGTTACGCCTTCTTTGGGCACCTTGGAGTGACGGCAAAGGCCCCTTTCAGAACGTTCAACATCTCGTCCACAACGCCGGTCTTTCTCTGATGCCTTCCATCGTGGTATTGCCAACCCTACGAACATTAGAGTACAACGTCGGGTATTTCGACGTCGAGGCACGACCGACTACATCGATGTTCGCTTATCCATCCCCTATGCCTGCGCAACCCGTCCTCCGCCGAATTCGATTTACGACAACTAGAAACATCACTCCTGCTATAATCCAGAACATGGTCAGCAACCCAGCAATGGCCAACCTCCGAGAACTTGTAGTCGATGACTGCGGACGCAGCAGACGCAATCTGCCTCTCGCTTTGCGTGGCGGCAACCTAGCTGAACTCCTACGAAGCCTAGAGAAACACACCCCACTCCTAGAGCTACTCCAGTGGTCAACTCAGAAGTCCGACCAACAAGAAGGCCACCCACTATTCGATACGTTCAAAGATCTCACAAATCTCCGCCAGTTACACATCGACTTCGACCTCCTCGTCCCCAAAAGCGACACCAACTCCACCAACTTGAAGTGTCTCTCCAATCCCCACGCCGTCTTCCCCGCGAGCTTGGAAGATCTGACGTTGGACTGCGTCGATATCGACAAGCTCCACCATCTCGTCACTCTTCTCCACGACGCCATTGAAGAAAGCGATGAGATGAGCGAAACTGAAGCACTCCAAATCTGCCTCGCTGCTCTAGCCGCCATGTTCCCTCCGCTCAAACGCCTCGCTCTTGTTGTGATCATGGAGATGGATAACCCGAGGGAAGATGCACCTCGCCTGCATGAGTTGGATCCGGTGGATGTCACGTTCTTCCGGTACGCTGCAGATGAGCTTGAGAAGCTGGGTGTTACACTCGAGGTGTGGCGTAAAGAAGGGTATTATGAGAAAGAGAAGAAGTTGCTGGTGAAGAAGGGGTGGACGGCGCCGTTGCCGCATTCGGTGGTGAAGGCTGTGCAGAAAAAGGCTAGGGGTTGGCGGAATGGTTACGCTGATCTCCGCATTTACGGAGCATAGGTCGGGATGGTGATGGAGATGTAGCTGAATACTTGACTACCTCTGGAGTATACATTGCCTTTAATATAGATCAGTTGTAGATACATAGTACATTGTATGCAGCAACCCAAATTTTCTATTGCAGTCCCGTCTCACTCCAGGATCGCACACGTGACAGCGCGCTTCGCTCCTCCGCTCTTCCCTCTGATGCGCACTCACTCCCACTAGCGTCTAACAGCATCACAATTCCCTGTTAGACCCATCCCCATCCTCTCATTCCCTCACAGCCACATACATCTGCAGTGCCCTGCAACACTGAGCCGCCACCATGGCAGCACCCTCTCCGAAAGCGGAGGCCATGATCGACAAGCTGCCGGCCGAGTTGATGATCGACGTCATGAGCTACCTGCGACCGCACGATCTGACTCAGCTGGCGCGCGCTTCGAAGCGGTATCGCGAGTTTGCGCAGTCGGCGCTCTGGACGAGCGTTAGTAGCGCCACTGTACCGCATTCGGGACATATACTGACACCATTCACCCTTAGATCGAACTACATCGCCAAGACGCCCACGATAACTGCTTCACCCTTTCCCACAACCATCCTCCAAGAGCCTACCTGGACGACGACTCGCTACATCCATGGTGCTACCGCGATTACGACGGGGTAGATGCCGAATACGATGCCAGAAACGAGCAGTTTCGTGCTGCCATCAGGGAGATGTATGCGTCCAATGGCAAATCTGGAGCTTGGGATAGGATCAAGCCGGCCGTACGACACCTTTGCCTCACGGTAACGCATGGGAGCCCACCCCAGATCTGGAATATCATACTCTCGCTTCCTAATCTAAACACGGTCGAGGTCATTGGCGAGTACTCCGAAGATCGGAAAGGTCCGCCTACAGCTCTAGGCCTCCTCCGGAAACCGGCGGCAACCAGTGTACAGAATGTACGTCTGAGAGGATACGTTCCCGTGGAGTTTGTTTCGGCCATCTGCAGGGCTTCAGCGTCTACTATCGTCAGTCTCGATCTCGGCGTTCTCGACGAACCAGAGTTCTTCAGAGGCACCGAAGAGGCAGAAGTGGACTTTTGTGGCAGTTGTCCGGTCTACATTGGTCCCCGAGGTAGTCTCTTGCATGATGCGGCATGGCCTGAGTTCACCTCGCTCACTCATTTGCTACTGTGCAGACCTGGTTGGTCCTATGGCTTCCGCGAGAGACGTGGTGATTTTGATTACGAAGCCTCTCAAATGCAGCAATGGGCGTCTCTCCTCCAGGCAGTCCGGTCTACTGCGGTGGAGGTTGTCTTGGAATATCGACGTATATTTGTCGACCACGATGTCGAATTTGATAGCGCCACAGCAAACGAAGAGACCAAATGCCCCCATGATATACGGTTTCGTGAGATGGTTCTGCAGCGTGCGTTCGCTGGGAAGGACTGGCCAAACCTCAAAAAGTTGAAATTCCGTGGTATAAGCTCTGCCAGAGGCGACTACTGGCCTCCTGAAGACGCACCTGATGAGTCGCTACAAGACAGTGCGACGAAGCTGTTACCGGGAGTCCAGGTAGACCAAGTCCTAGGCAACTTCATGTTCCTCGACACAGCACGCGGAACGATTCTCAACCACCATGGCGCAGACGGGCTGAAACTGCACCTTGAGTTCGACGGGAAACACGCTCTTGACGATCTCTATGACAGTGATAATTTCATGGACGATGACGAGTACGAATTGAGAAACAATTCTATAGACTACTTGTACCACCACCTGTCAACGCGCAAATAGGAGAGATTTGTATCACTTTGCTGCATACACCAACTTCTGTAGTCACAGACAGGTAGTATAGAAGACGATGTATACCTCAAGTCCCAATATACAGTTTAGCTTTTTCAATACAAGCGTTCATGTAGTCGGCAAGCGGCACAATTTCCACGACTATGAACCCCATTCATGTAGACATTAGTACCAGAACCCCTCCTGTTCCATCATCGATCTAGCATGCATACCAGTGAACACAGGCTCCTCAATAGACCACCACGTACCCACGAAAAAGTAGCATGAGTCAAGTGAAAGTGAGAACCACACAGCACTTGCCGCTTGCGAGTGACCGTCAGTGCGTTTCGCCGGCATCCTTCCATATTCAGAACAATAGTGACGGAATGAATCACGTGCTCGCTGGTCCTGACGCTGGGTCTGGTCTTCCAGCAATATCGCAGCCTCTGGAACCCACCTCCACCCATCCACTGCCACGCTCAACAATTCGATCACGAATCCGCAAGCTCCCAAAAGTCTCCAAGCGACAACGTCTCGCCATACCCACGGCTGGTAGTTATACTGTCATGTCTCAGCTACCATCCACGCCCGCGACGCTATCGCGCGCACCGAAGCGCACGCACAAAGAGGATTTAGTTGGGCCGACCAAGCGACAACGCCAACATGGACTTTGGACGCCGCCCGAAGATTCCAGCGACGTCCACGATTGCTACACCCAAACACCCTCGCTTTACATTCCGCGACCACCATCGTCACCCCTTGTCCATCCTCCGTACTTAAGCCCGCCGCATACTCATCCATCGGCCTCACTAAACCCACGGGGAGCCAACCCAGGATATACGCCTTCCCAGAACGGCTTATATACTCCCACTTTAGGGTATATACACGGCAACAACCAGCAGTATGGTTCCGGCTCGCGATTACAGCCTCAGACAACTCCACAGATGGGGTTTGGGAATCTATACCAAAGCTATGGATTTCACGTGAACCGACACACTGCTCCAGCGATACAGGCTGAGTATGGGTGGGGGCGACATGAACCCCAGACTGCGCGTATTTACGCACCAGATCACCCCATGGGGCCTACAGTGGGTCGACAGCCTGCACCAACGACACGGCCTGAGTATGCGCTGAGACTACACACACCCCAGACTACGCGTAGTCATGGGATAACTGGCCCCATGGTACCTACAGTGACCGCAAATGTTCCGCGCCAGCAACAGCAGCAACAGTGTATTCAGCCAAGCGTTGGTACACAAGGACCACACCAATACAGCGCAACTCCAGTCGCAGTCACACAGTGTGATTCTCACCAGACGGGGGTAGAAGGGCTTCATCGCGGTACCCAAGTCCCCGTTGTGAATGTGCAGGCCGCGCGAACGACGTCGCGCACTCAGCAGGAGCAGTGGCTCATCGATGCGCATCCAGACCTTCAAGGAACGCCTGTCACGACCGTACCGGCTATTTCCGCCAAGCAAGGCACTATCGGAACTGCCATTGACCGCAAAGACGAGATGCTAGTACCGCGCGATGTGTGGCGCCTACGCTCCCTGCCTTCCTACAAGCGTTATATCGCATACCGCCAAATGGCAGAGCTAGGACGTCAAATGAGCGAGTATGACCAAACTAGTAAAGAAAATCAGTCGCTATGGAAGCGTATCACAACCTTCGAAGCGAGCTTGATTGAGGCCGAGGTGAAGTTTGCGAATAGACTGAAGCAAGATACAGCTGAAACGAGGGCGAGGTGGGACCGAATCGTAGCGGCTCAGGCAGTTGGGACTCTAGTCGACCAGGATATGGTAGCTGCCTATGCCCAGTATTGCGGCATTGCATCTGCGACGTCCCCGGTGGATGTGACAGCTACGACCCAACTGCCCACATCTGATCAAGTTCTAGCAGGGCAGAATCCACTACCACAGCCTCAGACTTCTAGAGTTCCTGTGCCTACCGTTACTCCGTCAATACCGGTAGAGCCCATCAGACCAGACCAGGTAACACATCCCCTGGACAAGGTCCAAGTTCCTCCACACCCTGGCGAGCTCGAGGACTTCACGCCACACGAAGTCACCGGAATGTACAAATGCAACCACCAGTATGAAACCGGGGCCTGCTGCACAGAAGGAGTCACAAAGGAAAGAAAGAGAGCCTCAATCTCTAGAGATAAATCGGCGTGGAAACGAAAGGTGGAAGACTTGGTCAGGAAAGGCGACTTGGATACGAGCCACATAACATGGAAGAAGGAACAGTCACCCAGTAAGGGGAAAGACCAGAAGATGGAGACTGCGGAGAAAGGGCGATTACGGGATGAGAAGAAGGCGGATGCCAGCGCGAAAAAAGAAGCGAGAAAGGAACGGAGTAAAAAATGGCGCGAGCAACCACACGATGAGGTCGATGCAGGAGCTGCACCTGAACCTATTCTGGCACCAAACCCGCTTGAACAAGACGCCGCATCAGCTTCTGAGGATGGCTTTGGACTTTCTTCAGAAGAAGAGGCCGCCGCTGCTGAGGCCGCATTTCAAGAGGAAGTCGCAAAAAAGCTAAAGAAGTACGAGTGGGATATCAAGAATTGTCGGCTCTACGAGAGGAGAAAGAAGTGGCCTAATTGGCCACGCTTCAATGAGTATTGGGAGGTCAAACATCTTGAAGCTCAGGGTTTCCAGCTTTCACCGGAGCAGAGGATCATCTCGGAGGGCGATGAACCGTCTGGAATTCCGGACAAGAACCCCGCGTTTGTGAAGAAGAAGGCTGAGGATATGGGGTCGATGCCGCCTCAGGAGCCGGTAGACGCGGAAGAGAGCGTTGAGGTAGATGATTCGAATTTGGATGACTTGTTCGAGGATACGGAAGAAGCGGTCGAGCAAGATGATCCAGGATTAGACGATCTGTTCGAGGACGATGAGCCGGAGTCCTAGGAGGTATTCCCGGACTATGTGCATCATTCGAGAGCGGCTTCGGCCGTTGTGAAGGGTCGTTACTAATGAGTCTCGCAAGGCCGCAGCAATGGCCTTAATGACTAGGAATAACGTCGAATAGACGATGGAATGAAACCCACCCCTCATATACAACATCGCGCATCACTGCCAACCTGAAACATAATGTCCTCGCATCGTGAAGTGGCGATCGAAGTATGACTTAATCGCATGAGTGTCGTTCTCACAACGCTCTTGAAACGCCCCTGTGGTGAATCGCATTGTGCAGGCCTGTGCTCAACACTAACTTCATGACGTTCTCCAGTATTAACGATGCCGTTGTACTCGGTGCGTGCACGACGTCACGAAAGGGGAACCTAGTTGTAGTTCTCTTCACTCTGGGGAGAATGCACAGATCCTGGAACCTAGATAGTCAGTCCAGTACTTTGATACAGGCCGTTGGGTCACATTTACCAGTAGACATCCCCGTCTACCTGCACATCCACAAAATCTTGTTACCCATACAACAAGATGCAGTCTTACGCGCACAACAAGGGTAACTACGTCTACGTCCGCCGCAAGCGCACAAGATCGGTCGAGGTGCGCCGCGCAGACGATCTCCACCGGCACTCCCTATCCTCCTTATCATCCGAGGAACGCATCTTGCATTACGTCGGCGAGGAGCGCACCCGCGTCTGCCGTTGTCATGATGCGGGACGACATGGCGAGAGGACGTCCACCGTAGCATGCGAATCGAGGCATCTGAGCGCCAGCATAATGCTATACCTAGACCGCCATGGCCTTGAATCCTGCAGCTTCGCTGACTTCCGGAAGTATCGCGCAAGCCGAGAAGCGAAATGGGCGATGGAAGGCGTATTTGTTGAAGACTTTCACTATACCAGCCGAAACAAAGACTTCGTGTGTCGCTGCTCACAACCAAGGAAGCATAGCTATCAGACGCCGCGCCATCCTGAGATCGTCGAGCAATGTGCGGAGTTCTTCTGTATGCACAAGGATAAGAACACTGTTACGAAGGACCAGTGGAAGGGCGTGAATGGCGATGAGCCCCCGGCTTACACACCCAGTGTAGACTTGTTATCCGGTTCCATGACATCCATGTCTGTAACGTCCAGTTCCGTGCCTGATTCGCGGCCAAGCTCGTCCGGACATACTGGGGAGAAGTCTAGGCCACGAGCCTCGCTAGAGACGAGGATACGTGACACTGCCGAGCGTCTATCTTCGATCATCCCAGGCCGGCATCGTAGTGCTTCGATCCCAGCACGGGAGCCAGAGATGCCCCCTCAAGTATGGCAGAAGGGTCGTCCATCAGTCTTGATCTCTCAACACGGTACATCTTCGCGGGATAGCACGCCCATGGGCTCGGCTCCCCCATCTACGCGCTCAGCCTCACCAGCAGTGCCGCACACGCGCCATCATCGGGTCGATTCTGTTCATGATACGTCCTCGATCTATGCAGATGCCCAGGCCACGATGGGCATGTTTCCCGGAATCCAGACAGATGCAAGTGTAGCAAGGGCTAGAGATATGCTGGGTGTGACTGGTCTGTATACGAACAAGACGTACGATCCCACATCCACTAACCTATCTGTAGTGAGCGGGCAGTCCAGTGTTGGGACCATTAAAAGCGAAAGGTCGCCACCGTTTGCCTATGACGAATGGTACAAGGGCAATCCACCTCAGTGGGTGCTTGAGAAGGACAGCGAAGAGCTACTACCGTCGACTTTCTACGTGAACGGCGATAGGGCGAATTCTTCCGGTTTCGATGCGTCATCGACTCATAGACCAGTGGCAGAACTTCCCGCGCGTAGATCGCCAATTGAACTTCCCGCTCGTAGGTCGCCAGTCGAACTTCCAGGTAAGCCAGCACACCAACGGCATACTGCAACGCTAAAGAAGCTTGAAGGTCGAACTTGGGATACGAGGTCGGAGTTGGAGGCCAAGGCCAAGGCCAAACGCTTCAGCGTTCGGTGCACAGAAGCACCCCCTAGTACGTCCACTCCTGCACACGACACCGAACGATTAAGCTCACGTTTCCACAAGGCTTCCGACACCATCCCGTCTTCACTTCCTGATCAGGTGGATTTCCTTGAGCGTTGTGCTGTGCCGAATGCTTGGAAAGACCCTACACCTACTGGGAATTGTCAGTTGTGCTTCAAGTCTTATCATGACGCAGACAAGAATCCTGTCATAGCACCTCCCTGCGGTTGCTCCATGCATGATCGATGTCTTATGGACAATCTGCGTACGCTTGATGAGAAAGTCGGCAGGTGCCCAATATGCCAGGCATACTTGTGCAACCGTAGTCTAGCCGAGCGCATCGGCAATGACATTGAACAGATCTTTGAGTTGCAAGTCAATCCATTACGAGAGGAGGTCACCCTCGAATTCCCACAGCGAAGTAAGGGCATAATCTGTAGTACGGAGGAGGGCGTTGCTGTCACGCAGCTTCGTCTACTCAAGGACTACGTCGATGTCCATGCCGAAGAGCTCTTCCGTCTATGGGAAGGTAATCGTGCAGAACCCGACTGGTTTGGAGGTGTAGTACGTCCCGCTGTCCAACTCTTCCAAGGGTGGAACCCCGCTATGCGAAGCCGCTTCTTTTCAAATGAGGACGCTTTCCTTAAGCTCCTCGCATGGGCAGAGCTGGTGCGCTTGATGAACATCAGCTGTGCGAAGAAGAGACAGGCCCATGATAGCGATGCACATTTTCCGCGATTGGGAGAGTTACATCGCAAGTTTTTGAAGGCCGTTGAGCGATACAACAAAGAGAAAATGTCGTGGGATACGAGTCGCTCTGGTGTTTATGAACACGACAGGATCGCGACGGATATTGTCGACGTCGCGATGAACACTCAGGTGCCGTAAACAATCATATAGAATACTACAAGTGTAATTAGTTCGCATTCATCGAAGTATCACAAAGCCATGGATCGGAAAGTACATACGCGTCTTAACAGTAAACAGCAGCGCGATCCCGGTCTGGACTGGTCTTGCCCTACGGCACGCATAACACATTCACGACGTGTCATTTAATCAATACCGACTCGACAGGACGTGCGGATATGATGATCTGTAGTATGAAGGGTTGGTTGCGCCTCGGCATCGTCTGATGGTGTGATGGATGAAACAAGACGCGAGGCGAGGAGCTGGTTGAAAGCGCGGCGGTCCGTGCACGGAGTAGCTCCACCGCGTCAGGTGCAACGATTGTCGACAAACATCGAGCTGTCTTCTGCCCGAGACCAATGCGATACTTCATGCCATGCTTGAGTTTATTTGCACTTGATATTGCTGTGCGAGAGTTCTGGAAGGGCCTCATGTTGAAGGGCAGAGTCATGACGTCATCCCCACTTGTTCTCTCGGGCTTCTCTTTCACACACGTACCTGAGCGCGTCGCTACTCCCACAACTTTCGTGCCTCCACGATGGACGACCAATTCGTTTCGAAGCCACCTTCGTCAACGCTAGATGCGAGCGCGCCCGTAGATTCATCAACATGAGTACCGGACTCCCCTTGCCATATCACTCGTCCGCACAACAGAGCTGCAATGCTGTGCACTCAGCTCATGACCACCCGACTCTCAGCAGAGTGACGATGCACTCACAAGCATTAACCTCACATTACCTTCGGCAGTCGTTTGTGAGAGCACTACATGGACCAATCTCGAGGTCGACCAAGCCTCCGGCTATTCTCCCCAGGACATAAGGCACTGGCTATAGCACGGCCACCGTATACCCTGCCGGATTAATTACTTCCAAACGTCCGCCCGCTGAACGACTGACTCCCCACATCATTTGCGCCCGCCGCATTGACAGAGCAGTCGCCTTTGCTGAAATTGGGAACTAATTGCAAAACGCAATGTGACCGAAATGCTTAATTCGAAATGCCAGATGAACTGTTCAAATACCGGTCGTCAGCCGCATTGCGACAACAGCATCCCGGTCATTCGAAACTTTGTTTCTTGCTATGATGTTTTACACATCACTTCTTTCGGTCGCGTTTGCGACGCTTTCTTTGGTTTCGCCTACTGTAAATGGGCGTGCGATTGACGCTGTTGAGAAGAGACAAGATGGATCGCATTGGATCAACACGTGGACTAGCATGCCGCAGTTGGTGGAAGCGAGCAACATGCCGCCTGCGCCTTTTGTACGCGATCTGAACTGTCCAAAAAACTCCAGAAATCCTAACATGATCGCAGAGTTCTGGAAGCGTGATGCGCGATGCAACGCTCCGCCAAACCCTCCACATGTCCGTTGGCGCACCGAAAATCAAGATCACCATTTCCAACACTTTCGGTGGCTCGGATCTTCCCATCACCGCAGGCTCTGTCGGCCTTCCTGCAGGTGGCGCAGCGGGCGTCAGTGGCATGCAAGCTTCACCACTAGCAGCCATTACCGTTGGTGGCAAGTCCAGCTTCACGGTACCCAAAGGCCAGGTCGTTACTAGCGATGAGATTGCCTTCGAAGTCAAGCCTCAAAGCATGCTCACTGTGAGCTTGTACAGCCAGCAAGGACAAAGCGGAAGCAGCATCACTGGTCATCCCGGCAGTAGGACGACGAGTTGGTTCGTGAGCGGCAACAAGGTGAATGCTACCACTTTCTCCGGCACTCAGAGTGTGCACTGGTACTTCGTCAGCGCAGTACAAGCCTACGTACCAACCACCACGCGCTCTCTGATGGTCCTCGGTGACAGCATCACCGACGGGCGAGGTTCAGACGACAACAAGAACAACCGGTAAGCACTACCTAACCCCGCAAACTACTTCCCGTCTAATACCACCGCAGCTGGCCCGATCTCGTACTTGCCCGTCTCCAATCCACAAACCACACCAACATCGCCGTCTGCAACCAAGCCGCCGGCGGCAACACAGTTCTCAGCGGCGGCCTCGGCCCACCCCTCCTAACCCGGTACAAGCGCGACGCCATCGAGCAACCGGGCGTGAAATGGGTCATGGTCTTCGAAGGTGTCAACGATATCGGCGGTAATGCCAACACCGCTGCCGCGCAAACCTCTGTTGGCGACCGTCTCATCGCAGCGTTCAAGCAGATTGCTGCTGATGCGAAGACAGCTGGTTACAGGACTATCGGCGGGACGATTGCGCCTTTTGCGGGTAATGGGTATGAGGGTGTTGAAAGGGAGAAGACGAGGAAGAGGGTGAATAAGTGGATTTTGGAGAGTGGGAACTATGATCATGCGGTTGATATTGCGAGTATGGTTGCGGATAAGGCGAATGCGGAGAGGTTGGATAAGAGGTATGATAGTGGTGATGGGTTGCATCCGAGTGTTGCGGGGTATCAGGCGATTGCTGATGCGTTTCCCATTGAGATTTTCAAGAAGTAGAGGCTGATGGCAAAGATCACTTCGCGTAGGATATGTTTCTCTTCAAGATAATAAGAAGCGATCACTGAAGCTAGTCACTGATATCCATTTGCAACAATTGAAATCCGACTCGTTCACCAATAATGCCCGTTGTTGAATGTTCATCATCGACACCTTCGGTGTATGACTTGGACATATCACCACATCTGGACAGCAGCTAGCAACATCGTATTCCATCGCGCGTTCTCCAGTTCCGGCAGATGTTATGCAAATCCCCGTCATGATGGGCTGCTTAGACCATTTGCCGTCACTCCTTCGCCTTGGACTTCCGATACAAGCGTCTCTTGTCCACCCAATGTTGCATATGAGGTAGCTCGTTTGCGTCTCGCTGCATCTGGGCTTCGTCTTCATCTGATGCTTCCATCTTGACCAAGGCAATCATGAGATCAATGGCATTGTGAAGTTCTTCAAACGCGAGACAACGCCCATTAAGCTGCCAAGAGCTAAGGAAGAATTTCGCAACAATCTTAGGCTTTGGCTCTGCGGGCATCTTAATGTTTGGTGTCAGGCCATTCTCATACCGCCTTTTTCTCTCAAGATAATCAGCATCGGGTTTGACGGCGACGTCCCGAGCACTCTGACCGTCGGCTCTTTTGGCTTCCATATCTTCCAAAGTCATCCGTCGTACTAGGCGTTCCAGTATCTCAGGCCTTCTCTCACGGCCCTGTTGCTCTTGGCTACAAAGCCAATGCAGTGCACTCTGGCCGGACTGATCATACAAGCGCGCATCAGCACCTTGAGCGAGGAGATAATCGACCAGGCTAAGGATACCCCTTTTACATGCGAGATGTAGCGGGGTTAACCCAGTGGTCGTTCGGATGTCGACAGTTGCTCCTAATGTCTCTATGAGTGCAATAACAGGACTCCAGATCGTGTTCTCGGACTCCGGATCTTCAGCAAAGTCGTCCTGAAAATTCCAACCTAGTCCTGGACAGCACTTGCGTGTGGCGATGTGCAGAGCAGACTCCCCGTTGTTGTCCAGGCTGTCTTGATTGAAAGTGTTTGGCGGCTTTGAGTAACGGCGTAAGACATCCCAACAAGACCGCAGATCACGAGTCTGAACCCCTGCAATTTGATGGAAGATGGTGCGACCGTTCTCGTCGGTCACGTTAATAGAGCCACCTTTTCGCAGAAATTGGCGAAGCAAAATCTTCAGTACTTGAGGCTCTGCAGCGATAGCGGCGATATGGACAGGCGTACCGCTCCATTTAGGCATGGTAACGCACAGGTCATCATCTTCACCTAAGGGGTCACCGTCCTCATTGTATGTAGACCCGTGCAACATACTCTTTGCAGTCCGAGTGGAAGATTGGGTACGCGTCTTTGCGCCATGGCGGAGGAGCATCTGGACGATGTTGACTACACCACGCTGAGCAGCGATATGGAGAGGCGTCTGTCCGGTTACATCTTGAGCGTTCGGATCCGCTCCATGATCGAGCAACCACTCCACTACGCCTGTTTCACTTGCGAGAGCAGCGTAGAACAGAGAAGTTCGCTGGTCACCATCTCTGATATCGACATTAGCTTTGAGCTGGCAATAATCAGTTTCCAGAACCTCGAGGAGGCCGAATAAAACTGCAACATATGCCAGTTTGACTCCATCTTTTGGTTCATGACCAGAGCGTGCCCGACATTGTAGTCGTAGCCATGGTGTGTGATACTGATAAGCTGGATCTAGTAGCGGATGGTGATCCTTGATGCGATGGAAACTCTCGCTTTGCGACAGATGTTTGAAAGCGTTGTACGTTGCGTACTTTAAGAGAGGATGTTTCTGGGTCACTGTTTCACTCATACCATAGCCGCCGTCGAAGTAAGGAGCGTAGTCCTGGACCGAGCCGATAGTTTGCAACACCTTGTCGGTATAATTCAGAAGGCATCGAGCGACGTGGTCATTCGTGATTGCCGCTTGGAGATGAAAGGGTCCGAGATCCTGATCATGATGCGCAATGTTCCGAAAAAAGTCCAGAACCGATGAATGTACGAGTAAGACTTTGCGAGAATGACGATCATACTGCACAATGGTCAACAGGTCTCCTGCATATCCGATCTCGTCAGTGATAGCATCCGCCAGCATTTGGCCGCTCGCAGGTTGAGTTTGAACGGCAGTTGCAAGCTCCACCAGGCTCAGCGGCTGGAACGTGGTCGTGATCCAGCGCAGAATTTCCATGACTCGATCTCTTTCGTGCTCATCGATTGCTAGTAGCATGCGACGGTACATAGCATCGAGACCGCGGGGGAATGATTCAACGGTCCTCTCCATGTCGATTGCCCGGACCTTCTTTAGGGCATTGATGGCAAAGCCGGCCCATAGGTAGGTGCCCTCTGCTCGATCATACAGCTTTTCCTTGACGTGTGCGCGCGTCTCGCCTGGGCATTTGAGACCGGCCATGCGATCGTCGATGAACCTAAAGACATCTGATTTGACGCGATACTCATTTTCGCATTCGAACTGTAATCGAGGATAGTCCTCAAGTGCTCGCTGAATAGAATGGGGGTGATTCCGGCTGACAATCAGGAGCCTCATGCAGTGGTGATGGATGTCGGATTTCGCTCCAGGGTTTGACTCGTAAAGATTCTGAATTTTCGTCCAGAAGTATTCGAGGCCGTCTTCGTCGCATTCGTCCAAGCCGTCGAGAATGCATGTGATGGATGTGACATTTTGGTCTTGTGTGATTCGGGCGAAGATGGCCCAGAGGGCTTGAAATTTCCTGTCGTCGAATAGACTGGCTCCATGTTTCTCATAGTCATCCGAAACATGCTCGAACAGCTGTGGCTTCTGCTCAAGCAGCTGATAGATGATACCGCGGAGGATGGAGGCACCGTTATTCCTCCCATGGTCTCGGCTACAGAAGAAGTGCACAACATGTCCAGCCGACGACTGATTCTTCAGCGTGCTGACCAGGTTGAGGGCAAGCATTGTCTTTCCCTTACCAGCATCTCCGGAGATCCAGAGCAGACCAGACGACTTGGTAGCCCAACTCTTGTACGCAACACTTCTTGAAACCCACTCACAAGTCCCCTCTGTTCTCGGTCCTTTTCGATCTTCGAGGGCCTGCCGGTGGTCGTCCGGATCGTCCTTTAGGGCTGCCAGGAGATCTTTCAGGCATGACTTCAGCGCGGACGCTTGCTGTGCGCCGTTATGGAAATGGTTGATGTTACCGACGTGTGAGCCGTCCCCAGTGATGATAGACCCTTGGTTCAGGGTAGACCCGTAGGTATTGTCCCCAATGAACGTAGATGAAGGCCGGTCGCTCATCGTTGGCTACTCGTAGTGTCTTGGCCATCTGGTGCTAGGCATCTCGCCCTCTAATGAGTCGAAAAGATATGAGTTTGCTGTGGACAAACTCGCATCGCGTACGTGGTACTGCGCTGTCCCGTGTTGGCCCCAGCAATCATGCTTGTATCCGCAAACTTCCACGGAAGCGAGAATCCTCATCGTCGCGCAGACGACGCGCAATAGCAATTTAGATCGTGCTTGTCGAAAGTACCACCACTAGATTTTGAAGTCCTCCGCGTCTTCTTCGGTATCCGCCTTCTTCCAGAGCTCATCTCCCCCAGCAACTCCATTGTCATCAACACCCCAAGAGTCATTCTCGACTTGCTCCCACCAGTTAATCAGGATAGCAGTCAACGGCGTTCCCCAGCCAGGTACGAAGAGATTACCTATGCCGCGATGATACAACACATCCTGACCCGGCTCATATGCTTTTATTTTGGTATCGTCACCTCGCAGGACATGACCGTTACCGCCCAGAGGAAATGGAAGCAGTAACGTGCCACAATACGAGTAGAAGTCGTCGGGCTGAATGTATAGTCCTCCGCGATTGTCCAAAATGCTAGATCCACGTTGAGGCTTCCAATTCTCCTGGTCGCGTTCGGAAATGAGCTCGATGCCTGATGTGCGCCACGGGAAAAGTAGAAACAGATAATTCTCGGATATCCCGTGTTGCGGCTCTTCGATAGTAGCATCGGGGTTTCTGTTTTGCATCTCCGCTCCTACGCGATGGATGAAGTCCTCATCAGGCACGTCGAGCTGCGGTGCGATAGATTTGAATGGAGGTTTCTTGGCTCTTGAGAGAAACGTGCGTACGAACGGCTGGATCGCCGGGTACTTATTCAAAACCTCAATTGAGATCAGCCCTTCTTCGTCTTTCCTCCTTTTCTTGCGTTGCGGTTCTTCGTCGCCTGTCTGGTCTCCACCTTTGTTCTTTTCCTCTTGCGTGTTAGATGCAGGTAGTCTCTTCGCAATCGCATCAACCAAACTACCCCACACGTCCAGCACCTGATCCATCTCTTTCTCCGTACACAGCTCAACTCTCCACCCCTGCGTCGCAAGATTATCAGGTTCGCCAAACCCAGGGTTTTCCGCATCTATAACAAACTTGCCAGATTCGACGCAGTCCCAATAGAGTTGTAGCACTTCATCAAGATCAGCCCACGGAAGCTTCATCTCATCGGGTGTATAAGGTGAGGTGAAAGCATCTTCCAAGTAGGTAACCTGCTGCGTTTCTAGACTGTAAACCAGCCCAGCTGGATCATACCCCGTGTTCTGGTACAACACAATGAGATCAGCGTGGTCGTCATCCCAATCCTCCCATGACTGGGTTCGCAACCTGTAACGACCGTGAGGGTTCACGATGCCAACGAGGACTGGGTTGAAAGCTAGATGGTTACTGGCTTCGTTGGGTACGACTAGGTCGATGCCAGATAGAAACTCTGTGAGTTCATCGTCAAGGTCGAATTCGAAGCCTGGGGAAGCTGGATCTAGTGAGTGTGTGGCGAACCAATTGCGCTGGATGGTGGGTTGGTGTTCAGGTGGAAGGTGCGAGCGGGCATGGGCGACAATGCGATTGTGCAACTCGATGGACTTTGCTACGTCCCAACTCATGCTGGAAGTGATGGCAGAAGAAAAGGTAAGATGTTTTATCCAAAGTACCATGGAAGTAGCTGCAGTCAGATCGCCGCGAAACAAGAGTGAACACAAGGAGTGGTGGTTTGTGAATGCAGAAGCTTGCGCGACTATCGAAGGAAGGAGCCCGGTAGCCGAAAACGCACAGATGTTGTGACGGACTAGAAAGCTGCTACGCCTCTAGCTTCGACTGCTGCCTGGTGTCTTTCAGCGCTCGGCATACTGGCTTGTACTTTGGTCAGCGGAATTACTGTGATAGCTTTAGAGCCACCCACCTCAAATTTGTGATCACTTTGTGACAGAACACCATCTTGCTCACATGTTCCTCTAAGGACGCTCAACCCAATCGATCCAAACGGGAAGCTACCAGAAACGAACATCAACTGGTATTGAAGTACAAACGCTGCAGAAAATGACCCCGACCATGCTATCTCATCATAACCATGCCACCTCACCATCCCATATCCCCAAAGACCCAACCAACCCATCATTCCTCCATCTTCTCCCCACCCCCAACCACCCCCGCATTCCCCTCCCCCAAATGCTTCAGCAGCCAACTCCTCTTAAAATACGTATTCGGATGCACAATCGTATCCAAATCATTACTACTCCAACTCCCCTCCTCCTTAACCTTCTTAATCTCCTTCTTGTGACTCCACTCAAACACTCTATTACACGCAACATGATACCTCTGTTTCCCCACATCCTCTTTAACCGTCTTGAGCACATCCCTATCATTAACACCCACACGCTGCAGCATGGTGAGCAGGTTTTCCGGGGCGAAAGTGCGGTAAGGGCAGCCGTGCGATTGACCAGCACCAGGCAGGGCCTCAGTGAGGAGTTTCTGGCAGGAATACGGTGTGTAGCCGCGGCCGCGACGGTTTGCGTCGCCGCCTACGTCGCCGTAGGCGTGGCGGATGTTGTATTTGTATTCTTTTTGGAATTTCTCGTCGGTGATGAGCTTGAAGCTGCGGCGCCAGAAGACGAGGCATTCGTCGAGGCTGAGGCCGATGCCTTTGAGGAAGAGGGTGTATTGCAGACGGCCGAAGTGTTTGAGGTGCGAGTCGTCGCGCAGTCTGTTGTGCAGGTTGCGCATGCAGAGGGGGAAGTGTTGGGAGAGTGTGTCGATGCTGTTTGCGGTGATGGTGGAGAGACCGTCGATGTTGGCGTCGGAGGTGGAGTAGGCGGCGTCCGGGGTTGTGAAGGATTGGGAGAGGTGGGCGAGGATGGGGGCGAGGCGGTCGTCTTCGTCGAGGCGGGGGAGGGCGCGGGCTGTCAGCTACAGGTTTGTTAGTGGTGCCTCCCGTCATGTGTATAGCGGAGTCCATACCTCTAGTGCCTCGTCCAGTTTCTTCGTAAACTCAGCAACCACCAGACTCATCTGCTCTCGTTGCGGCACATACGCCATTCCCCTCTTCAAGAGTACCTTTCTTTGCGCAACAAGTTCAGGTACCCTCTCCCAATCAACCTTGAACCACTCCTGATCCTCAGTCTTCTTAACACCGCTCGCCGCATGCAACTCATCCCTCAGCTCCCGCTTCTCATCTTCCTTGACCTCTGTCCAATCCAGATTGAGGCTGTTGACGAATTGTTGCCGCTCCCGCAGATCATCATCCTTGAACCGCAGCGTAAACAGCATAGTCTCAAGCCGCGAAAACCGCCGTCGCAGGTCCTCTGTTGACGAAAACGCAAGGCGCAGTATGAAGTGTGAATAGTGGTCTCTCCGCCGCTCTTCTTGTAGTTTCTGACTTCTTGAGGAATCCGATCGCAGTGGAAGGTACTTCTCCAGTATGCTCTTCATGTATTCGGCGGTCTCTTCAGGGCCTTTGTTGCGGAAACTGCAGGCTTCGAGTTCGGAGAGGACTGCATCGCACACTGTTAGCACGATCAGGTAGTCGTGATGAAAGGTACATACCCTTCAGTCTGTTGATTGCCCATGTCTCAAACTCTTCCAGTGTAATCTCTGCGGTGGGTGGCAGCGTGTAGAAGTTCAGTCGGTGTTCATAGTTCTGCTGCTGGAACTCTGCTTTCTTGAATTGTTGCCTCTTAGGATCGATTTGCGCGCGTCGCTTGGGGTCAACTCGAGAGTAGTCGTGGCGGATCATGATGTTGAGATTTCTTGCGTTGTTCGGCGGCTTGCACGTCTCCACGGTTGATGGGGGTGTTAAAGTGGCAGGCGCGTTCGCGTGCACGCGTAAAGCACGCTAGCCACATGTAGCGCACGCGCTGTTCGCGTGTCTGATTGGGTCATCATTGCTTGCCATGTTCCCAGACCCAGCGGTTCAGAGTGGCATGCGAGTCTTAGCATCGTTTCCCTGTATTCTATACTGAACCCTATCTATGCCCTTGCAACCCTGCTTCTAGGTGCAGCCCTGCTCTCATCACATCATTTCTCAGCCCATGAGGTCACCCAGCGCGTTCACATAAGCCATCGGAACAGTTGTCGCACCCTCAGCCAGGAAGTCCTCTTTCTTGCTAACGCCGGTAAGCACAGCCAGAGTTCCGCCCAGCTTTCCGTCGATACCGAATTGGATATCCGTGTTCAATCTGTCGCCCACCATGCATGTCCTGCTTCGGTCGAACTTGAACTTGCCTTCTATCGCGTCCATCATGGCCTGACTCGGCTTGCCCAGAGACAAAGGGGCTCGACCAATCGCTCTCTCAAGCGCGGCGCCTGATGCACCAGCACCAGGGAACAGAGAGTGCGCATTTGGCAATGTGCTGTCGATGTTGGTCGCGAGATATACCGCGCCACGCTGTAGGTACTGGAACGCGATTGCCGTCTTCAAGTAGTTGGAGTGAAAGTCCAGACCACTCAGCACGACGCCGACATCTGGATCGAGCAGGCTGCCATTTGCAATAGCCTCGAAGTCCTCTGGCTGCCGGAACTCGCGCCGGTAGGCAGGGTCTGTACCACCAATGTATGGGACACCTTCAGCTTCGAGCTCCTGTTCTACGCCCGACTCTCCTAGCACGAATACCTTGTTCTTCGGCGTGGGGAGCTTGAGGATGCGAGCGATGTATACGGCGGCGCTGTAGGACGATCCGAAGACTTCTTCCTGACATCGTGTCAGCAAGCGCTCATACATTGGCCTCACTGCTTACATACCACCTGGGCGGGGATACCAAGTTTTTCGAATTTCTTCTTGTAGTCTGCGCGCGACTTGGTGCTGTTGTTCGTAACAAACACGAGTTGTTTGCCTGGGGTCAGTCAGTTGGAATGTCATAATGCTGCGTGCCAAGTGAGTGTCTTACCTTTACTCCTCAGCATCTCGAGAGTTTCTGGGACCCTCTCGTATAGGTGATCGCCGGACCAGAGGACGCCTATCCTTCGTCACGATCAGTAG